TGTCCAGAGCAACTCCGGTTCTCCCCAGGCCCTTTGGGGTCCCCACTCGCCCTCTTGTCCTTTGCTGTTGGTGAAGTGAACCCCATAACCTAGAAAGTCTACAACTCAGTGGGCCCCAGGAGAACTGTGAATCTCCTTGGAACACTACGGAGCTTCAGAACTGAACATAGAATCCCAGGTGGTTCTCTAGCCCTCTCCAGGCTGATCGCAGGCTGGAAGCTGTGGTTCGTCTCCGTCCTGATGTCCTTGTCTTGCATCGCAGTGGTCAGAAAGGCACTGGGGCCAGGCCACGCTTCCTCTGCACCCATCCCTTACCCTTGCTTTCTGTCTTCCCCAGAAAGTCGGTTCCAGGCTTACCTTTGACTATGCCCTCATCCACTTCTGATTCTCAAATAACCTGTGTTTTCTCCTCAAATAGAGGTGATGGGGGAGACAGGCAGCTACTTGGGAACAGACTTTAGCCAAAGGCAGGGTGGGGGACACAGTCCTAGAGATCTGTTGCCTTTTGCTGCATGCAGAACCTTGTCAGACCTGGGTGCCTGGGTGGTTCCTAGGTCTTGCCCTGATGTAGAAACCCGCCCCCCCCCCCCGCTGCTCCACTGTGTAGACACCGGCCCTACTGTCTACACGCTGCATCCTGAGCAGGCAGAGAAAGCAGATGGAGGGGAGTTTGGGGCAGCACTGGGAGGAATACGTCTTCAGCAGAGTGGGAGAGCTGAAAGTCCCTAGAAAGAACTGGTGGTGGTGGGGACAGGAGGGAAGCGGGGCCCAGAGGTCCCTAGGACCTGCACACCCAGGCTTCTCAGTTCATTCATGCAATGCCATTATCTCAGTAGTCACTGAGGGCCCAGATCCCCATCAAGCTCTGGCAACAGAGAAACTCCCATCAACTCCAAGCCTTGGCCAAAGGGAATTTCTGTTGCTGGCAGCAAAACCAACTGGGAGGGTTGAGGAAGGGGTGCGGAGGGCATGCAGGAACAACTGATAAGAAACACAAAGAAGCAAAGAAGGTAGAGTTCACAGTTCTCCTGGGGCCCACTGAGTTGTAGACTTTCTAGGTTATGGGGTTCACTTCACCAACAGCAAAGGACAAGAGGGCGAGTGGGGACCCCAAAGGGCCTGGGGAGAACCGGAGTTGCTCTGGACAAGGGAGAGAGGGACAGTGAGCAAGGGACAGAGGTGGATCAGTTCAAGGGAATAAGCACCTCCTGCTTGCCAGGTGCTCCACTATCTTGGGCACAGTTTTGTGTTTCAGTTTCATGACAATCTTGACAATAAGACATGGTCATCAGCATCTGACCACTAGAGAAGGTCCCCAACTAGCCAACAGCACTTCATGGCAGGTTCAAGGACAGTTCAGAGGTCGGTGCCAGAAAACTTTCCACCTAACATGCAACTTCCCAGGAGTTTGGTGGCTGCCTGCACACTATGATCTGGTGACCTTCACCTGGCTCTTCAGCACCTCCTTGTCACAGTGACTCCAAGACAGCCAGACAGCCACTCCTTTCCTAAGGGCACTGAGCTTCCAGAAAGTATCTGAGGCAGGGGAAGCGACACCATAACCCATTAACCCACTGACTCCATGGGATGGAACTTACTCTGAATGGAAAGGGATGGCCTGGGAACAATGTCAGGGATTTTTGTCCCCCCTTTTGCAAGAAGAAATGCCATCAAACAAATCATATTCTTCCAGCAATCAGAACAGCTTGTACTTGAAAATCTTGCCCCATTATAATTTTTATGCCATTTTCTAAATGAGGACTATGAGGTTTAGGGAGACAAAGTGGCTCACTCTGTCTCAAACACTTGGTTCATCTTTGTCCTAGGTTTGGGTTCTTTCAACCATCACAGTGTACTCTGGCCTACATTCGAGTGATAGCTCCACACTGCTGCCTAGGGAGAGAATCCCAATTTCTCTGCAGAAAAGATGATGTGTGGCCCCAATTCTGCCCCCCTTACATGGCGCCATGTGTTCAATCAGCTCTTATGCAGTTAAAATTAGTCCACTAGAGACAAAAGGTTAGAACCTGTCCTCACCTTTCCTTGTGGGAAGACAAGGACAAGTTACTTAACCTCTCAGGTTTATTTTCCTCTTCTGAGGAGTAGAGATAAAAATAATGCCAATCATGTGACATGATTGACAAAAGTGGATAATAATATCCTTGTGGCATGAGCAGATACACTAGCATTTATTTCATAAAACTATGAAGAAATTATCATGAGGTGTTGAACTGAAGCAGTTGGCTCACATTTTAGTGACCAATTCTCATCACCAACATCCTCATTACCTAAGGAAAACACCTAATTTCATTCTCAGATGTTTGGCATTCTGAAGGAGTAACAGAGATAGGAGATCTGGTTTCTCCTCTGCCAACTCTCTATGTGATATTAGGTGAGTCACCAGCCTCTCTGGGGCCCTGTTTCTCTATCTGTTTATCCACCTATCTGCTCACCTATCTACCTATTCAACCATCTGGATATCCATCCACTCACCCCTCCATCTACCCATCCCATTCAGCCACCCACCCACTTATTTATCCCTCTACCCACCCACCCATCCACCCACTCATCTATCACTCTATCCATTATCTCTGCACATCTCCTATCCATGAAATGACTCTCAGCTGCCTAACTCTGCGCTCTATGTAGGATTGTAGCAGCTCCTGTCTCCTGCTCTCTGGCACTGACCATGCATGAAAGTGCAGCAGCACAAGGCCCATCCTCCACCCCACCACTAATGTTCTATGCCCAGGGAGGCAATTCAACACAGTGGTTAAAGCCTGGGCTTTAAAATCCAGCAGACTTCGATCTGAATGGCTTCTCTCCTACCAACAGTTGTGTAATCTTGAACAGCTGATGTAACCTCTTTGAAACTTTTTAAATAGAGGCTTTCATTTAAGAACAAATGTTATAATTATTATAAATCACTTTAGTATAGTGCACATATCACAGTAAACTGTCCACCCATCCATTCACCTATGCATCCATCCTTTCAGCAAATAGATTTGGAGCAGCTGTCTATGTACCAGGCAGTGTTTGGGGCACTGTCAATACAACACTGAATAAGAAAGATGAAATTTCTGTTCTTTGGAGCTCACCTTGTACAGGTGAGAGATAGATAGTAACATGTTTACTAAATAAGAATTTTGAAGAGAGCTCTAAGTTCTATGACAATGACAAAACCATGATGATTTGAGAGTAAAGAGGGAGAGTTTTTGGAGCACTGGAGGATGACCTCATCGAATAGGAGGCATTTGAACAGAAAAGGGAGTGATGAGAGGACATCTAGGTACAGGTGGAGAACAGTGACTTCCAAGTAGAGAAGCAGTATGTGGAGGACCCTGAAGCAGAAACAGAAGACTTCAAAGCATGATAGCCATTGTCCCCAAATGTCTGTGATGTCATTGCTTTGTCTGCTCAGGTCACATTAGTCAGAGACTTGATTCTGCATTCATTAGGTAGCTGGTGCTTGGAGACTTCTCTTTCCACCAGAGCCCAATTCCCATCCACACTGCTTTCCCACCCAAACACAGCATCACATGTGGGCCTGAAGAATACCTGGGTACTGGGGAGATTTTAGTCATTTTAACCTAGACAGACAGTGTAGAAAATATCAGTTTTCTCAGAGAAAAAGATGAAATACAAAAGACATCTTGAAATAGAGGGGAAACAAAAAGGAAAACAGAAAGTATCAGCTGTGGTGTAGCTCCTGAGATAAACTCACCGTGGGTCTTTGAGGGGAAGGTGAATTTTCAACCACTAACCTTCTGTGTCCTGTGCCTCACCAGGCCTTCTTCGCTTCCATGTAGGTCTGTGCTGCCAGCTCCAGGCAAGGTGCCCTGTCCTCACATCAGTCTTCCCAGATGCTATCAAGGGAACGATCCACTGCGGTGCAGCCCATTCAGCCTAGTGCTGCCACATTACATAGAGAGGAGCGATTAAGTCCCTTCAGTTTCCTTGGAAGTGTTCCATCTGTCCGTCCCACCTGCCCTGGTTTTTGAGAAATGCCCATACATGGCAGAGATGAGACAAGCAGACAAGGCCTGTTTTCCAATGGAAAGTTTCCAGAATACAAAGTGAGCCTACAAGATGGATTTGCATTCTCCAGAGGCCTGCCTGGCCCAACAGGAAGGAAAGCCACAGTGCCATCAGGAACTCAGAGATGGCTCAAAGACAGGGACAAACACATCCCATCATCCTGAGCCCAATGGCCACATTCTTTTTTTTTTTTCCAAAGTTTTATTGATAAACATATAGCAATGAGACAGTTTCAAATCAAATCGAAAGTACAGTTTCAACAAATAATACACTGCATATATTCTTCTTAGTGGTTAATTGCTGTACAAGATGCAGACTTGTGATCCTACTTACAAACACCATTAGAAAAAATCATTCTATTCATTAAGAGAATGCAACTATATATCTATCCCGACCACTTTGAATACACAGATACAAAATGGACATTCATAGTTATACCCCAATTTTTTTTAAGTTCCGTTGTTGAATATTATATGTGTGTAAACTCAGCA